ATATAAAATTTTTATATATTAAATATATTGTTTTTTTATAATAATCAAAAGAAATTATAAACAGTTATTTCTTTTGATTAAATATTATAAAAAATATACATAATAATATACATTTAATATACATAAAATGATTAATGTGAGCTGATTCTTCTTTTTTCAATATTTAGTCAGATATTGTTAAGTCCTTTGCATATTTGGTTCCCATATTTAGTTAAGATTTTTTTCCCAATATTTATTCAATAATAAAAAGTTATAGAGGTCAGGAAATTTTGGCAGAAAGACTGGCTCAGCCAATGACCGATAAATTAATCTATTACTTTCTTTTTGTATTTTATTTATTGAACACTGGCATCTTATATTGCTGTTGTAGTTAAATATGTGTAAAATCAATAAGCCACTACAAGCACTTCATTACAGTCACTTTACTACAGTTTAAGGTCCCTATTATGTAATGAAGTAAAAGCATGTGTAAAAACCTTTAGTAACGTACCGGAGAGGTCACTGGCTGTGATGGAGTTAAGCAGGTTGAGCTGTTGTTCGGTTGGAGGCTCTATCCTGCCGCTGCTGCTGGAACACACAGAAGCATCCACCAAACCCTCAGCCTCATCCACCAACCGGTCCATCAGATCCCTGCAGAGGAATCAGCCTTCAAAGCTCAGGACAACTGAGCGAATACTCTAATACTTTGTATCAAGTTCACACTTAGGGCTGGGAATCGAAAATCAACTCCATTTCCAGAATCGAATACTTAAGGTCAGGAATTGGATACTTGTCGTAAAATTTCAATTTCAATTCCATCTATCGTGCACATCTTTTTTTTAGGTGGCGAAAAGGGGCTGTTAAAAATTTAGCTATTTGTCTTTGAATCAATCATTCAAGACGGGGTTTCTACAGATCTGAACAAGTGAAATTTAAGACCTTTTTAATACCACCTTATATGAAATTTAAGACCTAAACGTGTAATGGAAATACTCATTATATTTCATAGCCTACATATATGTAATATTTCATCGCGGTCATAAATTATATTTATTACTATGATATACAGTGAACTTTTCATATCAGCAGACAATATTCCACACAAAATATCCCCAAAAAATTACCATATCACCAAGACTTTTGGTGGTGTAAACAATAATTCTGAAACAATATTTTTTATCAGTGTTTTATCAGCTTTTGTTAAAGGGGAAAATGCTGACTTTTCAACATATTAAGCTACCAGTAGGTGGCGGTAAGTCACTTAATGAGTGAGCCATTGAGTCATTCATTCAACTGATTCGTTCAAAACACTGAACCATTCAGTAACAAAACATCGCCGAGTGTTGCTTGGAGAATGTTGCGATACTTCTGCTGTGATCCTTGTTTGGAACTATTTTCGATGGTGAAACAGAACAAAACCGTAAATACTGTCTAAAATGTAAGTAACTTAATTACTTGACTAACTACGTCACTTGTTTATTGAACTAAAATCAATGTAATGTGCAATCGTGAGAATATTCAGCAAAATAGCTCCCTTGGTATGTTACTGAACTATAGCATGTTATGAATAAACTACACATTTGGAATTTTTACCTCAGTGTTTCTTTATGCTCATTTGTTTTGAAGTCTCTCACAAAGAGACAGGCAGCGCGAGCAGAAATACACTATCCATTATCAATCGCTGTTTACGTTGAATGTATTAAAATCAGAAGAATCATTCCTTCGTTTCAATGCTTCGCTAGATATTTTTTGTCACTTAAGTTTTAATTAGGATGTTTGTCCTGTTGGGCAAGTAAAAAAAACAAACAAAAAAAACATTTTACACTAACTAGAAGGCCGGTGGTCAGCTAGCTGTAGCTCGACCTATATTTATTATTATTATTACTGAGAACATTATATACACAAAGAAGGTTGTTAGGCCTGTAATCTGCTAACGTTAACATTACTGTGATTCTGTGTGATGACGCAGTAACTACCGCGGGGGGGGGAGAAAAAAAATCTTTGGTCTGTTCAATATATACAGTCAGACTGAAGATATTTTAGCGGTAATGTGACCAAAAATATTTAATCGAATCTGCATTTAAGGCATTTTAAGGCCTTTTATTAGGAAAATGTTATTTAAGACGAGATTGTGTTTATTTGTCTAATATTTATCATTCTTCAGAATTGTGAGAACTACAACCTCCATTAAAAAAAAAAAAGTCTCAATTTATCCAGAATCGTGCAGCTCTCATTTTTGTTCATAATATTCAACAGCAATTAAATGTTTTGCAAAAAGAGACAGAATAAATATGTGACAACTAAATGTTTGACTTAATTTTTTTTTATACCACATTGGACTCGAAACTGGGAATCAATAAGAATCAGAACCGATAAGCAGAATTGGAATTGATCAAATTCATACGATACCCAGCCCTATTCACACTGAACATTTTAACATCCACTCAACAGAAGATCATTACGAAACTCACGTAACGCCAGGATAACTGCTGAACCTCTTCTTCCCGAACCGGTTTTGCTGGACGAAAAATTCGAATCGCTCGGACTTCTTCCACATGTAGTAAAACGCAACACATTCTGCCACCGTTCGTGTGTTCACCTTGAAAGATAAGTTACATGCAACTTAATAAGCATTATTGGAGAAATATGATCATGTAAGACGATAAAGACACTCTGGAAAGTCATTTCAATGACATTATAGCCTGACATTTTTTAAACCGATCAAATCCCAATGGAAAAAATAAAGACCCACCCTACATTATTTTCCAAAGAATATTCATCATAATTACGAAAATTCATAAGTTTTACTTGTTTGTATACAGTATGTTAATGGCATCTAGGGCTGTCAAATTTTTTTTTTAATATTTGTCGAATTTAAAATAAAAATCTACATTCGAAAACAAAAACGTTGCATTCGAATTTTAGGTGTGCGTTAAAGGGTCATGAAACCCCCCCGTTTCAGCACTGGTTAGTTCTCACCACAGTTTAAAAAAATACTAAAAAAGTGGGCGTGGTGCGCAGCGGAGCGGAGGTGGGGGAAGAGGGGAGACGGACAACACACACACAGCTTAGCGTTCTGACAGTTTCATTTCACTCCCATCGAGTTAAAAACACAAATAAATGCACAGCCATTTGCACTCTGCATTGAAAACATATATATGAACGCGCTGTTGCACCTCTGAGAACTTTTAAGGCTTATTCTCTGGAGTTTATATAAGCCTTTTGACGGGTTGTGTCACAAAGCTGTAAAAACGGTTATGCTCGCTAAGTGAATGAATCGCGTTTGTGCCGAACTCTTATTACAATGCAAAAACAAACACTCTCCGTCGATCCATGAACGTTTCTCTCAGTTAATGTGCGCAATGTCATCTCACAGACTCTGAAAGGTGTCATAGCAAATCAACACATGCTGTTGTGAATAATTAAGCG